AAAAAAATTAAAAGAGAACATTGGTTTGCACAAATGACTTTATCATTATAACCCCAATTTTGATTATCTATATTTGTAATTCACAAACTAGATAAAATTCACAAACTAGATGGCAGGGCACTTAGAAGTCATTATGTTTTTTTTTTTAATTGCAAAACACTTGATCTACTAATATGTCAAACATAAAAATCTCAGAATATAATTTCATACTAAATCAGATTCTGATTTATACAATGTAATAAAAGATAGAAATGTATAAGACAAATTTATATTTAGTTATCTTTAAATAGGAGACTATTCTATGGTGCATTTCCCTTGCAATTTAGGAAAACCCTTTCGTTCCTTTTTCGTGTAGAAACATTTTGTTTCAACACAGGGAAGTAGAGATTGATTCCATTTCCCCCACCACATTGTTAGTGTCAGACAAACCCAGCCTGCGGTTCTCTGCATCGTCAGAGCTGTTTCTCACACTGAATATGGGAATGACAAATTTCTTGTTATGTTGAAATTCTGAGAGGAGTTAAGACACGTATTGCACTCTTTAGCCCTTGCTCCTGGGGATGTGGGTTCTCTGGGTTATTTGATGTCCCATAAATTGTTTTGAGAGGCTCTGTCTTCCATCTGCTTTATGAGACTATTGCATCTCTTACCTTTAACCTGAACCTGAAAGTTATCACAACCAATAAATAAACAATAACTGGCTACTTCTCTTCCAACAAGTGAAAGCCCACAGAAGATAAATATACATAGAAGGGAAAGTGATTTTCTAGCCCTTCTGAGAAGAAGAGACAGAAAAAGATAGGTTGTGCTTGTTAAAAGCATCATTATGGTTTAATCCAAACAGGAACACAGAGAATATTCAGATGGTTAGAAATAAAGGCAATGAGTTCTCATTTAGTGTCTGGTGTTACAGAAGTTATTTGCTGAATTCTTGCAAGATTGGTTAACTATACCTATAAGATCAGTTGGCCTCTTTGTGAATGGTTCATCTTTGACAACTTTAACAACCTCTTTCCAGTGGTACAGTAAAGGATAAACCTTCTCCAAAGAGACACCCAACCTTTGCTCTTGGCTCCTGGGAGTAATCTCTAAGTTTTGAAATGTCCTGTTTGATAAGAGTATCTTCATTACTGGGGACCTTGTTAGCATTGTCAATGCTAATAATGTGATTTATGGTGGGAGCTTTGGCCACATAGCATCAACTCAATTTCTGGAGGGCCCAGAGACTATGGTCAGCCACATGGGTGGTCAGCCATGTCTATGTGACCAAACCCCAATAAAAATTCTGGACATCAAGACTTGGAAGAGCTTCCCTGCTTAACAATACTCTGTGCATATTGTTACACGTAGTTTCTGGGAGAAGTAGGCCCTGTCTGCACAGCTCCACTGGGAGAGGAGACTGGAAGTGCTGAGACTGGTTCCTTTGTTTGGGACTCTCTTGGACCTTGCCTTAGGTACCTCTTCCCTTGGCTCATTTTCATCTGCATTTTTGGCTTTAATAAACTCTAATATTACAGAAGTTATTTGTTGAATTCTTACAAGATTGGTTGACTATACCTATAAGATCAGTTGGGTTCTTTGTGAAGGCTAGAATAAAACATGAGTAAAACAGCTTCCAGTGAGTTTTGTGAGTCATTTTAGTTAATTATCAAAACTGAAGTTGGTCTTGGGAACCTCAAACTTGCAATTTGTCTCAGAAATGCGTGGTCTTGGGGACCCATGAAATTTGTAATTGGCATCAGAAGTGGGATTTACTGGAATGACCTTGACTCACCAAAACTTGATGAAAGCATGGTTTGGGAAAAGGAAAGATGAAAGGGCAGGGGTTTATGAACCTTTGATGTCCGCTAACATTTAAATGCACTGTCTGAGTCCTCTGTCCCAGACTTATAGAGACCAGGTGAATATGTATGGGAAATGTAGCTAAGGGAGTCTCTGGTTCATATTGATTTTGTAGGTCTTGGGTCCTCGTGCTAAAGGGGCTGAGTTGCACAGAAGTGTTCTCTGCACAAAAATTCGGCAGAGCAAGATACAAACTCCATGAAGGCAGGGTCTATGGTGACTTAGCTAACCAGTCTATCTCAGGGGAAATAGAAATGTTTTCCTTAGGGAATTCATTCATTCCTTCAGCACTTGACAATCTACTAATCAACTCTGAAGAACCAGGCACTGGGTGAGGCTTGGAAACACTAAGCTAAGGAGAGCATAGACTTTGTGTTGAAGAGCTCAGGGCTGGGGAGGTCAGTGTGTAGAACAAATAGCAGTTTTTGTTGTTGTTGTTGTTATTGTTGTTCGTTTGTTTGTTTGTTTTTGCTCTTGTTGCCCAAGCTGGAATGCAATGGCGCGATTTCAGCTCACTGCAACCTCCTCCTCCTGGGTTCAAGTGATTCTCCTGCCTCAGCCTCCCATATAGCTGGGATTACAGGTGTGCACCACCACACCTGGCTCATTTTTTTGTATTTTTCATGAAACGGGGTTTCACCATGTTAGTCAGGCTGGTCTCAAACTCCAACCCCAGGTAGTCCACCCACCTTGGCCTCCCAAAGTGCTGGAATTACAGGCATGAGCCACTGCACCCCGCCGTTTTTTTTTTTTTTTTTTTTTTTTTTGAGACAGAGTCTTGCTCTGTCTCCCAGGCTGGAGTGCAGAGGCACGATCTCGGCCTCACTGTAATCTCTGCCTCCGAGGTTCAAGGGATTCTCCTGCCTCAGCCTCATGAGTACTGCGGATTGCAGGCATGCACCACCACACCCAGCTAATTTTTGTATTTTTAGTAGAGATGAAGTTTCACCATGTTGGCCAGGCTGATATCAAACTCCTGACCTCAAGTGATCTGCCTGCCTTGGCCTCCCAAGGTGCTGGGATTACAGGCATGAGCCACTGCGATCAGCCTACAAATAGCAGACATTGTGTGATAGAGTTTGTCGGGGACTACAAGACAGACACACACTAAGTAGTACAGCTGCTCCGAGTTCAGTTTCCAGGGCATGATAGGTCAACCACATGCCTGGTGGGAAGGATGGAGCTGGTGTTGGGGTCAGGATTGGAGAGGCTGATTCCTAAGTCACATTCATTAGTGGGTTCCAACAGTTGGATCTTGTTTTCCACCTAGCATGTGAGGAAGTTTACCCTTCTTTGTTATACCGTGTCTTGTGAACCACTTCTCAAGGTTAAGGACATGGCCAGATCAACTCTGAGGAAATTCTCCAGGGTTGAGGGCTGCGACTTGGGAGGAGACAAAGGAGAGAAGAGATGACAACCACTAGACCAGCTGGAAAAAGCAATTCAGAGCTTAAAAAAATGAAAACAAACCCACAAAAGCCTCATCTATGTACAGTGTTTTTTTTGTATGCATATTCTCAAGTATCATTTTTAATTTGATCCTGAAAACCACCTTGTGAAGGCAGGGAGGATGTATTGATGACCCTACAGGCTCAGACAGCAACATGGCCAGAGTCACCATAGGTTGTAAGTTGCTGAATGGGAGCTCAAAGTCCAAGTCTTTGACTCTAAATCCAGGGCTCTGTCCAGAGCACCACTGTTGCCTCTTTTGGCAGCTGAAGCTGTCAGTCTGCTGACCCCTGCCCAGTTCAGACAGGATGGCCAGAAATGGACCAAAGGATGGAAAAAGAGAAGAGTGGACTTGAAGGGAACCGAAAGCATTTATTAAGGGGAAAGCAGAAAGAAGTAAGAAAGAGGCGTTAACCCTGGGGCCTGACCTTGAAGCACAGTGTTCCAGGGGATGGGGGATGCCACTGTCCCCACCCCTCTATGGGGGCCTGAGCAGATCCAAAGCTGCCTGGCCTTCCTGGAGGGTGGCATCCAAGCATGCATGTGAAGGCAGCAAAAGTAGGCCCACGTCACTTCTGGGAGAAGGCAAAAGAGGGAAGAGAGGACTACTATGGAAAAGTAGAAAAAGAGGAAGGGAGGGAATCTAGACATACAGATTGGAAATGTGGAACAAAACACATTCTTTTTTTTTTTTTCTTTTGAGACAAAGCCTCGCTCTGTCACCTAGGCTGGAGTGCAGTGGCGTGATCTCGGCTTACTGCAACCTCCACCTCCTGGGCTCAAGTGATTCTCCTGCCTCAGTCTCCCAAGTGACTGGAATTACAGGTGCATGCCACCCAGCCTGGCTAATTTCTTTATTTTTAGTAGAGACAGGGATCCACCATGTTGGCCAGGCTAGTCTTGATCTCCTGACTTCAAGTGATCTGCCTGCCTCAGCCTCCCAAAGTGTTGGGATTACAGGCATGAGCCACCGTGCCCCATGTGAAACAAATTCTTATGAAACAAATTTAATTTACATGTGCTTAAACTTTGATGCCAACTTGCATGGGATCCCCAGGTTTGTTAGATTTTTCTAGTGCTTCCAGCCCTTAAGTCTGTTCCTATGTTCTCTCAGCTACTCCTCCTCTCCTTCAACACTGTTAGCCGCTTTATCCAGGGCCCTATTTCTCAGCCCACTCCTTCTCCAACCCCTCTCCACTCCACCTCCACAAAGTCTGTTGGAAAGGAACAGCCAAGGATACTGGCTGTCTGGCCCCCATGTGGGTCTCTCCACATAGGATTCAGAGAATTGGAACATTTCTTGGGCTGAAGCAGAGAAAGGGATACAGTTTTGAAACTGGCTTTGTGAGTCACTGTGAACTTCAAGCACCCTCCCACTTGAGGTAAGCTTCACCAGCTTGGTTTGTGGGAACTGTCAGACCAGCTCCAGGCGCTGGGGCTTTCTCAGTGGCCTTGTCAGCTCACAACAGGTGTTAACAGCCTCTAATTGAGGAAACTGTGGCTGGACAGGCTGCAAGGCAGTTCTGCTCCGCGTCGTCCTCTCGCTGACTGGAGACTGCTGAGCCAGTGCACGGCACAGCGTCTGGTGGGGGTGGAGGGGCTGTCTTGGCCCCTCTGTTCTGTGGAAATGGTGGGGCAAGTGGTCACCTTCACACTCCTCCTACTCCTCAAGGGGTATCAGGGCAAAGGTAAGGAGGTCCTACCTGGCGTGGGGTGGGGGACTCACATGATGGACTAGGAGCTGTGCCCCTCAGGGAGATCAGAGCCATATCTCCCTGATTGTGCCACATACACATTCATCTGGAACTTGACTCCGAGCAGCTCCTGACAGGTCTGACAGTCTAAATCAGACAGGACAGGCTGGCAGTGCACCGGGGGGTCTGTGAGAGGGGCATCTGGCTCTGCTGCCAGCAATCCAGGAAGTCTTGGGTGAGGAGATTCCTTCCCACTGGCTTCAATTTATCTTTCCATGTCGTGGAGAGAGAAGCCTCCTTCCAGCTGCCTGTAAAGATGAAGAAAATTGCATCCTCCAATTGTGGCGTGAGAGAAGAGAAGCATTCCCAAGGAAGTGGTTGGTTCTGGAGCTCAGAGACAGACGGACGGACCCCTGAGGCAGGAAAACTGAGCCCGAGGAGGGGAGGGCAAGGCCAGCAGCCAGGAAGAGCCTGGATGGCATGGTTCTTCATCTCCCTGGCTTCTTCAGCCACCCAGATGCCACAGGAGCCTGGAAATTATTAGGGACATGTTGGGCTGGGGCAGAAGAAGGAGACAATATGAGGAAGCTCCACAGCAAACCTAAAGCTGTCAGCTAGGCATGGAGCCATCTAACATTTACTCCCGGGGATCCCGGTTGAGGGCTGCTCCCCTCTTTCTCCAGTCCTGGGGTCCAGGATGCTCTGAAACCTGGATCCCACATATAATTTAATTTAATTAATTTATTTCATTTTTAATTTTTATTTATTTATTTATTTTTTGAGACGGAGTTTCCTTCTGTCACCCAGGCTGGAATGCAGTGGTGTGATCTCGGCTCACTGCAACCTCTGCGTCCTGGGTCCAAGCGATTCTCATGCCTCAGCCTCCCGAATAGCTGAAATTACAGACGCGTGCCACCACACTTGGCTAATTTTTGTATTTTTATTAGAGACCAGGTTTCACCATGTTGGCCAGGCTGGTCTTGAACTTCTGACCTCAGGTGACCTGCCCACCTTGGTCTCACCCAACCAAAGTGCTGGGATTACAGGTGTGAACCACTGTGCCTCGCCAGGGTTCTGCATTTTAGATCAGTGACTCTGCAGGGGCTTCACAGGGGTGGAGAGCGTGGAGTTAGAGGAGGGTACACTCTGGGCACAAAGAGGGGAAACTGAGGCATAGTGTTGCGTGGGTTCAGGGCCGGGTAGAAGCCCCATATGCAATAAAGTCCCATGCCCAGGTACTCAATTCAGTTACTGAGTCCCTCAGCATTCTTGTGTCCTTCAGGAAGACACAGTCAAAGCTCAGGTGGACTCAAAATTTGTAAGGATGCAGGCAGCCTAGGGCAGAGTATGATGAGGAACAGGGAGCAGGGAGGGAGGTGTGGAGCCTGCGGCTCTTGTGGGTGGGTTGGGAGGCCCAGTGACCCAGGATTCTGGTCAGGAGAGCTAGGCTGGAACCTGGTCTAAGGCGCCTTGAAAGCAGCTCAGACAGCTGAAGGAGGACTGATGGGATTGGTGCCTGGCTATGGGGATGAGAGTAACAGAGAAGCTGAGGTTATGACCCTGAGGTCATGAGCCTGTGTGACAGAGGGTGATGCTCCCTCCACTCCCATTCCCAGGGTTTCAGCGCCATAGCTGGGCTTGGCTATGCTGGCCCTTGCAGGGTGAAGCTGGTGAGTGACTCGTTAGGCACAAGGAGGGATGGACTTGGGTCTTCCTGAGCTGCTTCCTTCTCCAACCTGGGTCTGTGGGGCTGGCCTGGCATAAGTTGACTAAAGCTGCTCTGTTTATGTAATTTTTAAACTTTTTAGTTTGAAATAATTGTGAAGTTCCAGGGAAGTTGCAAGAATAGTTCAAAGGATTCTTGAATTTCTTTCATCTAGATTCACCAGTTAATATTTTATCGTATTTACTTTATTTCTCTTTCTCTAGCTGTATGTATATGTGTGTATAAATGTATAATAATTTTTGCTGAACCACTTGAGAACAAGCTGTGACGTTATGTCCCTTTACTCCTAAATATTTTAGCACTTATATCCTATGAACAAAGACATTCTCATGTTAGTACAGCACAATTATCAAATTTAGTAAATTTCACATTAATACCATCAAATATGCTGTCCATATTCACATATTACCAATTGTCCCAAGAATATGCTTTAGTTGTTTATTTTTTGCTGACCCAAGATGCAATCAAGATCATGTATTACATTCAGTTTTTATGTTTCTCATGTTCAGTTTATGACCATACTTTAGCCTTTCTTCATCGTTCATGATACTGCATTCTTGAAGAGGACAAGCCAGTTGTTTTGTGGAGGGTTCCTTAATCTGGGTTTGTCTGATGTTCCCTCATATGATTCAGGTTATCATATGCATTTTTATTTATTTTATATCATCATCATTATTATTTTTTAGAGATGAAGTTCGTCTGGTTGCCAGGCTGGAGTACAGTGGTCCTCGCTGGTATGTATATGTGTTCATAAAGTGTATATAATTTTTTGCTGAACCACTGCAACACTCGGCTCACTGGAACTCTGCCTCCCAGGTTCCAAGTGATTTCTCTGCCTCAGCTCCTGGAGTAGCTGGGATAAGGTCGCATCACGGCATGCCTGGCTAATTTTTGTATTTTTTAGTGGAGACAGTGTTTCACCATGTTGGCCGGGTGGTCTTAAACTCCTGACCTAAGTGATCTGTCTACCTCCACCTCTCCAAAGTTGCTGGGATTCCAGGCGTGTGCCACTGTGTCCAGCCTATTATTATTTTTAAGAGAAGATCTTGTTTGTCGCCAGACTGGAATGCAGTGGCATGGTCACGGCTCACTGTAGCCTCGAACTCTCAGGGCTTAAGCCATCCTCCATCTCAGCTCCTAGTAGCGGAACATCAGGGTTTGAGCCACCATGCTGGCTATTTTTTTTATTTTTTTTTTATAGAGACAGGGTTTCCCCATGTTGCCCAGGGTGGTCTTGAACCTGATTCTCCCAGCCAACTGCTGCCTGCTGCCTCCTTGAGGCTGGAGCCAACCCCAACCAGTCAGACCAGGCAGGGTGCACACCCCTTCATGCTGCTATGGCTGCTGATGTTTGGGAGGTCTGCCAGGTTAGCACACACTGAGGTCCCTACAGGGAATGGGGCGAGCTTACAAGTAAATGTCCATTCCTCAGAATGGACAACTGAAACCTGAATTTAGGGTCCAAAATGAACTTTAGGGCCCAGGCCTATTCTGCCCCTCTTTCAGACAGAGGGGCAGAATCATGGGGTATGTGTACGTAACTCTAGCAGATGCTGTCAAACTGTTTTCCAAAGTGGTTGGACGAAATAGTGCGTGAGAGTTCCATGCTGCTTCAGGGCCACTGGCTTTTGGTTCTGAAGGTCTGCAGATGGAAAATGAAATTGCGGGAATGTGGAGCTTGGCAAGAGGCCAAAGGCAAGGGAATTACAGCTCTGTGATTTCTCTGGTATCCTGCGTGAAATTCTGACAATGGGGTCATTTTTAGGAGTTATGTGAGATGCATTGTTGAATTAATTAATTTAAATGAATTCATGAAGCCCTTGCTTGGGTTGTTCATTTTGCCATTGTGATGTTTGAATTTCTTGTCTATTCTGGATATTAGTTGCCTGTAGGATTCATAGTTTGCAATTTTTTTTTTCTATTCTATAGGTTGCTTTTTCACTCTGTGGATTGTTTCCTTTACTGTACACGATTTTTTTTTAGTTTGCTATAATACCATTTGATTATTTTGCTTTTGTTACCTGTGCTTTTGAGGTCTTATTCATAAACTCTTTCCCCAGCCCTTATTATGGTCCAAGAACTATGCAAGGTTTTGTGGGGGAAACAAAGATGAAACAGATGTCTATTCTACCCTTAAGAATCTTTCAGACAGAGGAAAATAGGTATGTATAATTACAACTATAAGGGAAGATGGAAATGCTACATGTCATTAACAAGCAAGATACATTTAGAATAAAAAAGGAGCTAAGAAGATGAAGATTCCTTCTAGGTAGGAACACTGGGGAACTGGTCTTGAAGAATAAATAAGAGTTTAGGAGGTAGGTACAAAGTAGGAGGACAATTGAAGCAGAGGAAAGAGCTCAGAAAAGCCAGGGATGCACGGGGTTTGGATGGGAAACACGAAAGGCAGATGCACTTGTTATCATGGAGAAAGAGTATGACATATGAGATGATTTGGTTAACTAATGCAGAGTGGGACTTGGGCTAGGTGAGTTTTGACAGAGGTAAGCAGGTTGTGTTACCTGACGAGGGGAGTTAATATGGTCAGTATGAAGCTAAATAGAGAGGAAGAAAGAAATGGGATGTGGGCCCTGTAGGATACTTTATCTCTCTTATGATTTTGCCCTGACTAAAGCTGGATTGCCCCAGTACTTTTGGAATCTCACTGGGCTCTATTCGCTCAGTCCCTAGCAGGTACATCTTTTGATGCCTTCACCCCAAGCTTGGTAGCACAAGCCCTAGCTGAGAAAACCTTAACATCTACTTGTTGACTGGTGGAAGTTCCACTTGCTCTGAGACCTTTCTGTGCTCCTTCTCCCAGGTGCTCAGGCCCCACACTTTCCTCCGACTGGCAAGTCCAGGTTGGAGGAAGCTGAGCTGACTCAGAGCTCTGCACATGGGCTCAGGGCTGAGCGAAACTCACTGCTGCTGGATCAGATTGTCTCCTTCACCATCCTCCGTACTTCTGTCCTTGACCATCCTCTGTTCTTCCTGAGGCTGCAGTGGAGTTAACCATCTGCCCTCTACCCTCCCTTTCAGAGTTACTAGTTCACCTCATCCGTTCTTAACCACCGGAAAGAGGCCCCCAAAGCCGCTGAGCAGTAGCAACAGCAGTGGCAGGGGCCCGGGGCCTTCCTGGACTGTGGCCTCTTTCCTCTCAACAATTTTCACTTGTAGGGTCCTCCTCTATGCCTCACCAAATGTGTGAGAACTTCTGTTGAAGTTATGTTTTCATACTAGCATTTCGTCTCCCCTGTCTGGTGTGTGTACACCCCTGGGACAGAAACTGAGGTCTTTTTGTATCAGTCAAAATACCCTGGACATAGTGACTTGTCTACTTGCCTTTTCACCGTATCTGCTCTGCACCCCTGCTCCAGCACCACCCCTTCCAGGCCGTCCATGGAAACTCATTCCAACCGTCTTCCTTCTTCCCACACTGGACTGTTGGGGGCTACAGGAGAAAATTCAGCAACAAAGAGCGGCTACAGATTCATAATCTCCAACCCCAGCTGGACTCTCAGTGTCCTGGGAATCCACATTTCTGGCCCATAGCTTCTGCTATTCCCCAAAAGGTGGGAGAATTCCACACCTTCATCATCTCTTCAAGACCCTGTTCCACTATCCCAGCCTCCACAAACCAACAACCTCCTT